AAATTTGTTTTCTCTTGATCTTCCTCGACCATTAGGATTTGGTTGTAACCGGAGTAGGCGTCCAAGAAACTCAGCAGTTCGTGTCCCGCTGTTGCGTCGATCAGCTGGTCGATACGGGGCAATGGAAAGGAATCTTTTGGACATGCCTTGTTCAGATCGGTGAAGTCCACGCACATTCTCCACTTGCTGTCTTTTTTTTTTTTTTTTGCCATGACCACATTAGCGACCCATTGGGGGTATTTCGATTCTCTGATGGAACCGTTGGCCAGTAATTTGTCCACTTCTTCACTGCTCGCCTCGTTGATTGTGGCATTGAATTACCTCCTCGTCTGCCGCACGGGCGAATAGAGCGGATCGACATTCAACCTATGAGTGGCGATATCTTTCGGGATCCCCGGCATATCTGAGTGCGAGAAGGAAAATAGATCGGCATTGTTAGTAAAAAATTCACGATACTTACCTAGCTCGAAGAGGTTGTGTCCGATATAAGCCTTTTTTGTATTGTCGGCGTCTCCAGGTGTATCGGGTCGAGATCTTCAATATTTTCCTTGCAAGCTTCTACGACCTCGGGATCTATGATGACTTCTGCTGGCAGGTCGGTTTTAGCTCCCGACATGGCTGATTGCTATGCCTCCGTGCTTGCCCCTTTTAACTACTTGGTATGCGTGCAATCTTGGGCGATCCTGTAGCATTCCTGGGCGGTACGCGGCTCGCCTCGAATGCTGAAAATTCCCCACGGGGTGGGAAACTTGATTACCTGATAGAAGCTTGAGGGGACGTCTCGCATGGCGTGTATCCATGGCCGTCCTATGATAGCATTATAGGCGGCTTCCTGGTTCATGTCGTGATATTTCTCCAGATGTCCGCTCTACTGCATTATTAAAACTCGTTAGTGTTATGCAATGTGGTATTATCTTTTCCTCGAGCTTCATTCGCATGAGAAATCTCGGGTGGATAATACACGCGCCACTTCCGTCGTCTACCATGATTCTTTTCACATCTGTATCAGCTATGCGTAATGTTATGACTAAAGCATCGCAATGAGGGAAAGACAAACCGTCGGCATCTGACTTTTCAAAGGTGATACTATCTTCGAAGCCATCATAATGTTCGTGAGCGATTGTACGCTTCAGCTTATGCGTGGTGGTGAACTTTACGTGGTTGATCACCGAGTCGCCACCACCACCGATAATCATTTGTATGGTACGTGCCGGTCACGGTGGCCTAGGTGGTCCTTGAGATGGGTCGCGCCCTTTGGCGAAGTTAGCCTTTCCTTTGTCGCTGAGCAGTTCTTTCAGGTATCCCTGGTTCAGCATTCTGACCACCTCCTGTCGTAAACCTATGCAGTCTTCGGTCTTGTGTCCTCTTTCCTGATGGAATTCGTAGAGGACGTTTGACCTTCTTGCACTTGGGTCCGATTTCATCTTTTGTGGCCATTGCACCTCTGTGCCCAGCTTCTCTAGTGTGTGCACTATTTCTGAAGGGGAAACACAAAAGTTATGAGCAGATAATAATGGGGGCATACCTCTTTCGTTTTGAAGGGGCGCGATATGTCGTGACACGGCGTCTGTATGCCTCGGGGGAGGTGGATTAGGAGTTCTGACGTATGGCTGATGCCTTTCTCTGTTGAAGCGTGGGAGCTGATCTCTTCGTCCGTCGTTGCGTCGATCTCTCCTTATCTCGGACTGTACTGACGTTAGTCGTTGGGTTGGACCGTTGAGATCGTCTTCATCTGCTCTTTCTTCGGCGCAGTAGGCATTATGGATCTCCTCCCTTATGGTGGGAGGGTACTTCATGAGTCTGTTGAGTAGCTTCTTGGTCGCCTTCGACTCGCTTCTGCTTAGCCCGTTTTGGAAGGCTGCGACCGCCATTCCTTCCGATACATTTGGCAATCCCATTCTTACCCTGTTAAACCGGGCCAGGAAGTCTCGAAGTCCCTCGCCCGCCGCTTGCCTGATGGCGAAGATGTCGTTGACCCTAGCTTCAGCCTTCTTTGCTCCTGCATGAGCGGTAGAGAATTTATCTTCCATCTCCTCGAATGCTGATATCGACCGTGCCGGTAGCTGAGAATACCATGTTAACGCTCCTCCTGTCAAAGTTTCACCGAACTTTTTCAACAGCACGGATGGCACTTGTTCTTTTGACAAGTCGTTTCCTTTTACCGCGGTGACATAGTGAATCAGATGATCTTCTGGATCCGTGGTCGCATCGTATATTTTCAAGTATGGTGGCATTTTAAAGGTTTTCGGGATGGGGTGGGAGCAGCTTCCTCACTGTACGGTTGCTCGACAAACCTTCCCACATCGCGTTTTGGCAGCAGCTTAGGGGCGCCGGGTATTTTGTCAACCCTTTCCTGGTGTTCTTTCATTTGGTCACGAAGCACTTTGTTCTAATTTTCCATTTCTTCCATTTTCTTTAGGATGGTCGCGAGTGCTCCATCACTTGCATCGGTGGTAGTGCGGGTGTTGTTTGTTCGGACAGTGCTTGGCTTGCCGGCGACAACAGCGATTTCCGCCGTCGGCGAATCTCCGGTATTTCCGTGAGGGTTTTTTTCAAGCATGGTGTTTAGAGCGCTTGTCAACTACTCCTCTAACAGCTTTTTGACTGCTAGTGGTGTTTCTTTCACCGTGGACGTCGAAGTTCCTCTTTCGCGCAAGATCGTCAGATCCTCGAATATAGAGGGCGAGATCTCCCCCTCCGGTGTACCGCTTGGTGTTATATTCTCGGTATCTTCTCTACCGACTTCGTTGAGGGAGTCCAAGAGGTTGTTTGAGACATTCGCTATAGCCTTCAACCTTGCTTCTTTCTCTGCCATCGCCGGTCTCTATGGAGTGCGAAGGATAGAGATCGTTGCTTTTGATATCCCAGGTGAGAACTATGATTTCGACTACAGAAATCCCCACAGACGGCGCCAATTGACTCAAAAGATGTTAAACTCTTTTTAAGCAAATCAATCAAAGAGATGAAGGGGTAAATCGTAGTCGAAGATAATAAACCCTAAGATCGTTTCAATAATCGGAATAGTAATAATGATAAAAGAGAGAGAGAATGATAAGGAGATAAAGATCAGAGAGAGAGAATCAGTTTTTCTATTACCAGTTATCTACCTATTACAAGACCCGGATCCCCTTTATATAATGGGGGATCTAAGCTGAGTCGTGAGAATGACAAAATCAGTGTACTCTATGGCGGAGCCGATGACAGGTCGAGGTCGTTCCTCCTCTTACCCCCGGGTCGTTCCTTCGTATCGTATCGTATCGTAAACATTCAGTGGTTGGTCAAGTTGACGGTAGGACGTGATTGGTCAAATTCGAACCCATACAGTATCCACCTATCTTTAGTTGGTAAATAAAACTTTATCATCCAGTACATGGATGATTTTCTTTCGTTCTTTTACAAGAAATCAAATCAATTAGTTGGATTCCTTGTACTTAACACAACACTCGATTGAACAAACTAACTTGTAATAATATTGTCAAATTTGTCGTTCATAAAACAAACACCACAGAAAATGTCTTTCGGAGAGCGATAGATTTAGGCTAAATGCACGTATTCTTGTTGACTTTTCCACTACTTTGCACTCACTTTATTTCTACAGTGGTCATTATGACCCGTGGCGAAACCAGGAATTTACTCAAGGGCGTTCAAACTTGAAAGAAATGAATAAAAATCTCCGAGAAAGAGTATTCAATATATATTATATACCTCTAAAATCTAATATTTTACCTATATATGCAGTGTAATTTTCGGACGAAGGGTGGTCAGTTGACCACTCTTTATAACATGTAGCTTCGCCCATGATTATGACGTTGGTAAGTATGTCGGGAAAAATTTATTTGCACCTAAAATTTACTCCAAACCAATGAAAACATAACATGTGTCGTCTATTAGTAAGCAAAATTAATTTATTACTACTTCCTCCCTTCACTTTTACATGTCCACTCTAGACTTTGCACGCCCCTTAAGAAATAATAAATGAAGTGCATAATTTATCTTGATGCATATTTTTAATGGATTTGAGAACATGGTTTGAAATGGGTATAATAGAAAAAAAGAAATTATTTTCTATTGATATGCTAAAAGTGACAAGTAAAAGTGAAAAATCTATTTTTAAAATACTGGACAAGTAAAAGTGAACGGAGGGAGTACTACTTATCTATAGTATATTAATACAGTAAGATTTAGTGTATATATCATGCGCAGGTTGAATGTGAAACAGGGTATGAATAGTCTTAGTCTGGACTCTGCATGCATGCAGCCACCCCATTGACGAGTATTTATCAAAATTAAGGGGCTAAAGGAAAAAATTGAAAAGAAATGAGGAGTGGTTATATAGTAAATTCTTAATCCCTTTTTTGGACAGACAGAATGATACCCTTCTGCAATCCATGTGAGAACGTACTTTTGTTAGCTCATTGACAATGGCTTTTGATCAACCAACAAAAGAAGAGAAATAAAAAGAGAATTAGTCAAACAGAAAAGATGGGGAAAAAAAATCTTTGTAATTGCTAATTAACGGAACAGAGAAGGGTTTCTTGAAGTTCTAATTTAACCAAGAAAATGACTAAGGAAAATGTGGTTATTCACTAATCACGCCACCGTGTATTCTCTTTTTCTTGCATTGTGAGTAACAATATTTGATATTTAATGTTGATTTATAGATTCATTTTCTGCTCTAGAAGATGGTATATTAGCTGTTATCTCTTGTTTATTATGTTTAGTCAAAACTAAGGCACCTAAACTGAAACGGATGGAGTAAAACAACACAAAGAAAAGGGGAAAAAAAAAGCCACACTAGGTGGGCGTTTGGACATAAGAATAATTTAAAATTCCGAAATACAACTTCGAGTAAAATTTAAAAATTTCGTGGACAAATATTGATTCCGGAAAAATTGAATAAATTTGTTATGGCCAAATGGGCCCTAAAAAACGCAAAAGAAAGTCAGAGAAAAAGCGCCAGACTGACCCTCGAGCAGAAACAGTACACTCCGCTTTGTCTTTTTGAATTTAATCATGAAATCCATCAACCGGTAGTTGACCATAATCAGCAGCTGATTTAACAGCTATGGTTTTTTCCTTCTTTTTTAACACTCTTTTTCTTGTATTACTACATTTTTCTTCACTCCTACAAAATGCTGCCTAATTATTCTACCTTGGTTCTACAGCTAAAGCTGAAAATGCTGCTACTAATCCTCCTCATTCACACTCTCATCTTCACCACAACATCGTCGGACCTGACCACCGATCGCGCCGCCCTTTTAGCCTTTCGTTCCGCCGTAGGTGGTCGTACATTCCTCTGGAACATTTCCAACACCACCTCCCCATGCAACTGGGCTGGTGTACAATGTGAAAACAACCGCGTCACCGTTCTCCGGCTACCTGCCTCCGCTCTCTCCGGTAAACTTCCGGTGAACACCATCTCCAACCTCACGCGCCTCCGTACACTCAGCCTTCGTCTCAACAACCTTTCGGGTCCTCTCCCTTATGATCTTTCCAAATGTGTTGAGCTTCGTAATATTTATGTTCAGGGCAACTATTTTACCGGCCCAATTTCTTTTCTCTTTGGGCTTCGCTCTTTAGTTCGGTTAAACCTTGCTCACAACAACTTTTCCGGTGAAATACCATCCGGGTTTAACAATTTGACCCGGTTGAGAACACTTCTTCTCGAAAGGAACCATTTTTATGGGTCTTTACCTGAACTAAAGTTTACCAATCTAGAACAGTTTAATGTGTCTTTTAATAAATTAAATGGTTCTGTTCCAAGAAGTTTGGAGTCAATGCCTATGGATGTTTTTCTTGGGAATTCACTCTGTGGGAAGCCACTTGGTATTTGTCCAGGAGGTGGGGCCCAGCCTGCAATAGCTACTGCTGGAATTGAAATTGGGAATTCAACTAAGAAAAATAAGTTGTCCAGTGGAGCTGTTGCTGGTGTTGTAATTGGTTCTGTTGTGGGATTTCTTGTTTTGTTGTTACTTTTGTTTGTATTATTTAGGACAAAAAATGGTAAAAAAATGAGGTCTTTTGAGGCTGCTATAATTAAGCAAACAGAAACAGAAGTTTCAGTGGAGAAGCAAATTGTGGAATCAGAGAATGGAGGTGGAAATAATGGCTATTCAGTGGCAGCAGCAGCAGCATTGAATACTGGTGAAAATGGAGCTAAAAAGCTTGTGTTTTTTGGAGATTATTATAAAGCATTTGGTTTGGAGGATTTGTTGAAAGCATCTGCTGAGGTTCTTGGTAAAGGAACATTTGGAACAGCTTATAAGGCAGTTTTGGAGATAGGTACAATTGTTGCTGTTAAGAGATTGAAAGATGTGGCTATCTCTGAAAAGGAGTTCAGGGAAAAAATTGAAATAGTTGGAGCAATGAATCATGAGAATTTGGTGCCTCTTAGAACATATTATTACAGTGGAGAGGAGAAACTTCTTGTGTATGATTATATGCCAATGGGGAGCTTGTCTGCACTTCTTCATGGTAAGTTACAGTTACACTTCACTAATGCCAAAATCTGGTGTTTTCACTTCATTTCTCTTAATATTTGAAGATACACTATGTTCTTAATTCCAGCTTTTGATATTTTGTTGGAGCCATGCTACTTACCAGAGTTCAATCTCTATTTTTTTTTTGTACTCCCTCCGGTCCAAAATATTTAATGTTCTAGGCTCGGGCACATGGATTAAGAAAGTTACTTGCTCCTAGAAATTTATAGGGGTTTTGACTAAAATACCCTTATTTAAGATTTGTCTTTTATATCAAATACTCCTCCGGTCCACAATTAGTGACCATTTTATCTTTTTATTTTCGTCCAGAATAAGTGTCCATTTACATAATCAAGAAGTAATTAATTTTATTTTTTTCAAAATTTGCCCTTTACATATTCCAATCATCCAATGTGTGAAGGTAACAATTAATTAAGTTTATTTTAGTTAATACATCTTTTTTCTCTAGGACATCATATTTTCTTAATGGGTGTGTTAAAGGTAAAATGGTCGTTTATTGTGGACCGGAGGGGAGTACTAGTTAGTTTGACTTGTTGCATACTGTGTAACCTGCTTTGTCTGTTATGGGGCCCTCAACCCAATGAAAATGTGATCCTAGAATTAAGCATTCTTTATTATCATTTCCCTCACTCTTCATCATGTAAAGCATGCTTCAAATATAAGGAAATATGTTAAATCTAAAGTTGTTTGTAATTAAAATCTATAAGTAGTACTTATTTGTTTTAGTGATATCATTATAGCCAAAGGACCTTTGGTCATTTTGTAGGTCACCTGTCCATATACAGGGGAAAGTTGCACAAGCACAATATAATCTTTCACTTAGTGCTACATAAATAGGGTCTACAATTATATGTTCTTTTCATTATCTAGAGCAGGAGTAGAATTTTGAATACTAGAGACTAGTTTTCTGTCATGTGAATCTTGTATGAACTTGTAGATTTTTTGCCTGTGGAACACTTGAAACTTGTTAAAGTGAGCTAAGAAGCTGAAATGAGCTGTTTGCTGTACTGTCACCTTTTGTAACGACAATAACAACAAGCCCACTATAATCACATAGGTGGGGTCTGGGGAGGTAATGTGTACGCAGACCTTACCCCTACCTTGTGAAGGTAGAGAGGCTGTTTCTGATGTATTGTAACCTTCTCTCTATTCACTATAATTTCTTTAATTTGCTAGGAAGCAAGGGAGCTGGAAGAACACCGTTGAATTGGGAAATCAGGTCAAGTATAGCCCTGGGAATTGCACAAGGCATCGATTACCTACACTCTCAAGGTCCTAATATCTCCCACGCGAATATTAAATCATCTAATGTTCTTCTCACCAAATCATACGAAGCACGAGTCTCAGATTTTGGCCTAGCTAACTTAGTTGGACCGCCATCCTCCCCTACTCGAGTAGCAGGATATCGTGCTCCAGAGGTAACAGATCCTCGTAAGGTTTCCCAAAAGGCAGATGTCTATAGCTTTGGAGTATTACTATTAGAACTTCTAACTGGGAAAGCACCTACTCATGCACTCTTGAATGAAGAAGGTGTTGACTTACCAAGGTGGGTTGAATCTGTAGTTCGCGAGGAATGGCCTTCTGAAGTTTTCGATATTGAACTCCTCAGATACAAGACTGCTGAAGAAGAGATGGTCCAACTATTGCAGCTAGCAATAGATTGTACTGCTCAATATCCTGATAATCGACCTTCAATGTCCGAGGTCTCTAAGAGGATTGAAGAGCTTCGACGTTCAACCTTGCGTGAACACTCTGATCTTGTCAATGCAACAGATTAGATTTGTCCTTAGTCCCTTGAAAAGTGCAGTAATTAAACGAAAATCAGATTCATTACCATCATACTGAGGCCAACTTTTAAGCATATTGAGCTTGTTGTTTGTTGTCTGAAATGAATTTAAATGGAGAAACATGGTCAGCGAGTTCATGTATCCAACCCAAACTTATTTGGACTGAGGCATATTTGTTAGGATGTTTTATGCAAATCTTCGCTCACCAAAACCTGACAAGTTAGAATCTTTAGTTCTTGGTAAGCGTATTGTTCTACATTATTCCCTGTTTGATTAAATTTTTCAATTGAGTTGAGTACAGCATTTCACCCTCAGCAGGACGGACAGTCCGAGCGCACTATTCAGATATTGGAGGACATATAGTTGTTGTTATTGAACTTGTTATTTATTAGGGAGGTCTTTATTTCATTTTGTATTAACAGATTATGGCCCCTTTTGTCAAAGTCCCTATTGTACTTGAGCCTTTCATTTTCATTTTGGGGCGCCAATATCTGTACCATTTATTCTTGTTGGTAGATAATGCTTTCTGTAATTATTAGTACTTCAGCTTTTACTTTTGCCTTTTCTTTTTCTAACTGTCAGTGACAGTTATAAGAGGCATGCGTGCATGTGATTCTGGATATGCTGAAGCCAGTAGGAAGATTACAGTGATGTAGAGTTGTTTTCAATGACAAAGTGGGGCATGTGAAGTTTTCATAATGTTGAAGTATTTTCCGATTACAGTAAGAAAAATTCAGTTCTATCACTTAGTAGGCGTTTGGACATAAAAACTGTTAAATTTCGGGAAAAAATGAAATTATTTTTCAAATTGAAAACAGTATTTGAAAATTAGAATTGAGTTTGAATATGAATACAATTTGGAGCTATTTTTGAAAACTTGTGAGTGCTTTGAAGTGAAAATTTTAAAAAACAGTTTTTTGAGTTTTTTAAATTCTGAAAACATTTAGAAATTTAAGTTCAAGTGAAATTTGTAATTTTCATGGCCAAACACTGATTCCGAAAAATGTGAATAAATTTTACAAAAAGGAATCTATTTTATGGCCAAACGGGCCCTTATTATGGCCACTTGGAAGATGGACCAAACCATTGCAAACATTTTGACACATATCAAAACTCATCTTCCTTGGATCTTGGCACAACTGATTTTAACATGTTAGAAATAAGCTTAATATAATCTATCTATATAGAATAACAAAAGCAAAATTTTGATAGGCTGCCAAGTGGAATCCTCACAATTCAACACATGTCAAAAAATTAGGACAAACTCTCCGAGATAGTTGGAGTTTCAAATTAGATTCAAACTACAAATTCAGGAAAATAAAAATTTAANATATATATATATATATATATATATATATATATATATATATATTCTTGAAAGTATAATTTATGTGTGGGAGGAAGAGCAAAAGAAATAAAAATGAATATAAGCTGCGAAAATTTTTTTAGTTAAAATTTCAATACATCATTTTCTTTCCGGCATGCGAAGATTTTCCGATGATGAATTTTTCCCCCCAAATCTGAGTGTAATTTCTTTGCTTATGAATAGATCTTTTTGAGAGTTTAATTTGTGTGTCAAAAGAGAAAATAGAAAAACGGTTAGACATAGTCGCCGGTGAATGAATATCCGCTGGAATTAGAGAAGAAACGAAAAAAAAAAAGTAAAAGAAAAAAGACAAACAAAAAGGAAAAGGAAAAAAAAAGTAAGAAAAAATGGTAAAAAAGAATAAAAGATAATCTGAAAATCATTTTTTTTTTCGCTTCTCACTCTCCTTTGGGAGAGTGAAATACAAACATTCTACCACGTCAGCGTTAAGGGTGCAAATAATTCCATTTAAAATAAGTTTAGGAAGGTAATAGAATTTTCGCAAAGAAAAAGTGTGTAGTTGGAAATCCGGATATAGGTCAGGGTTACTTATGCATTTTCCCATATTACTTTTATTTAATATTACGCGGGTACATATACTAGTTATGGTGAAAACATAGTTATTTAATGTCATAAAAGGAAAAGGTGTTGCATCTTACACAAAATGGGACAAACCAATTATTAGAATAGTAACCTACACTTTGCAGTACAATTTGAACTCAAAAAACATTTTCTTTAGACTATGCTGACAGCATAGCTATTTAATGTCGTTATCCCATACCAACGCTTATTTTTTAAAATTTATATCATCCAAAAAGAAATATGGTATCCTCAACAAAACCACATTATGGTACCAACTCTTTGTAGCAATATCATTTATGATTCTTGTTGATTGATTTTAGCTGTTTTAGGAGGCCTTTTTTTCTTTTCAAATCTTTTTATTTTACACTGTCAAAGGCCAAATAGTCATTCTATTAGCCAACACCAAGAGAGCACAGCAGATTTAGCAGATACTTGCACAAGAGAGAAGAATCAAAGGAATGGAAGAGACTGCAAAAAGCAAAATTTGAGGCAACAAATCAAATCCCTTTCGAAACAGGAGGTGTTCTCATTGCTGTGGAGGGACATTTACAAAACAATCAAAAGCCTGAAGTCAAAAACCACAAGGCATCTCATGGCCATGCATGAGAACACAAGGTTGCCAAACTATAAATAAAACGATTCAAAGCACAACCTCACAGCATGAGATTTCTCTGTATGACAAAAACACATCCCCAGTCGTCTCCATCATGATCTTTAAGCTGCTTCTATATCTGCAATGGAACAAAAATGTAAAACTGTAACAATGAAGAGAATAGTAGTATCTTTAGAAATATTTCATTAAACTTAGTCATATACATACATTTACAAGGTGTAAAGACAGGGGGATGATTGGCCCACTTCTGTTTGATTCTATCAGCCCAAGTGACCGAGGTTTGAATACTCTACAGCCGCTGTTCCCAGTGGCTATGCGTTATGATTTGACGGATGATCGTCTTTCCAACCCTTTGTAAGCAAATCATAATTGATTGATGCAAGCTGGGAGAGGTTCTGTTGGAAGAAAGTGAAAAAAAAAAGAGGTATCAGTTGTTAGGACTAATTCATGAGCCGAATGGCTTTTTACATCAACTCTTGTTAAGTGCCAGACAAAGTATCACATGTAACTAAAGAGAAGTAAAATTTGGTCAATCAAAGCAGAGAGTATAATGTAAGAACAAATGAGAGAACAAGTCACTAGGAGTTGTTCACTAGTCAAACAAACTTAGTAATCTCAGGAGCAGAGATACAGTATAAGATACAGGCTCGGACGAATCCAGCAGCCTTTGATTAGACCCTATGTTTGTATTAGGAAATCCATTAAATATGTATAAATATTTGATTGTGAACCCAATGACTAAAACGAGCTATGGGTTCGGTGGCAAGTCCCAACGCATTAATCTCAAATACTGGCTCCATCTCTGAGTAATCTCCTCATCATAAGCAACAAACCGCAGCATAAAGGTAGAAAAAAAGATCAAAGAAGATCCAGATAACATTAAAACAGTATGTCATCCTCTTAAAGCGATTTAAGAATGCATCCAACAGCTGTAGCCAGCCATACCCTGTCAATTTTTATGTATTCCCTCATCCAGAAAACACCCAGCCATCAAAAAGCAGCCAATCATGAATGGAGTGTTGTTAAACAAGGAATTACCTTAAATGAGAAGTTATTGAAAGGATAGTTGACAGAAGAGCCTGACTCATATTCTGCAATACCAGCATACTCATCACCCTGCACATTATTGCAACTAAGTTACACCTATTTAATGAAAAATCAACAGAGTCCACCAAATAAATTAATTTAAATACATGAAGGGGTAATACACCAGTCCCTTTTTTTTTGGTGTGTGTGTTTGGGGTGGGTGGGTGGGTGGGGGTGGGGGTGGGGGCTGTTATCAACATACCGGTTCATCTTGGCGATTATCTAGACAGCTGCTACTGCCACTAACACTACCATCATCGCTAGAATCCTCATACTCACTAGCTGCATACACATGTTCATCTGAAGGATTCCAAGAGAAGCGACTTGTGAAGTAACTAGTATCCAGTGCACCTTCTGATTCAGGCACGAACGCAGCCTGAGAAGTACATGCATATATTCAACAATAATCAGTAGAACTAATATGATTGACCACCTGCTAATACAGCAACAACGACAATAATACAACTACACCTCAATTCAGAACTAGGCGGGGTTAGCATGCTTCAATTCAAAACTAGGTGGGGTTGGCTATGCTTTTCATGGCCCTTTCGGCACTAGTGTCCATTTGCTAGTACAGATACAGTTAAATGAAGACAAATCACTTCTATGAATAATCACGGCCAAACCTTCTGTCTAGCCAGTGTGTCCCAGTTAATATCTCTAAAATATGGATGCTGCTTCACCTGCATAAGAAAGAATCATAGTCATTCTAGATTTATTCTCGAGATTTCAAATGGACAGAGGTAACAAGGGTCAATATCAAAGTTAGATGGAAAAAAGAACATCACCTCTGATGCTCCGCCGGCCCCAAGTCTCAGATTAGGATCTTCTGTTAGTAACCTGAAATTTACCATGATAGCAGCTTTCACAAGTTGAGAGACAGTAACAAACTAGTTCTATAATAGATAAGTTACAAAGAGACGAACGCTAAGCTTATAATTACTAAAGCCTGATGATGCTAATCTTATAAGCTGCACCTGAAAATTACAGAATAAACTCTCCATCAATTATAAGTTCAAAACCCAGCCTGTTCTCATTTTTGGCAGAATAGATTACTCCAAATGTATATTTATCACCATTATCCTTTTCATAGTAAGATTCTTCTTCTGTTCCAGGGTCATGATTGTTGACCGATTTCAGAGTATTTATAGACAATCTTTTCATAAATAATCCCCGACAATGCTTTTTAGTCAAAAGTCGACCAAATTCTAATGATCCACGCCCTCTCTCAAGTCAATAAAACTATTTCCTTATAATTCACGCACGCCACATAACATAGAGCTTACATCTGCATGTCCTTACCCTGGAAGTTAAAATGAGAACTGTCTACTAGATGAAGGCTCTTGGAAAAAGAACTGTCAACTCAAAACTAAGAAGACGAAAATGGGATATTAAAACAATAACCAGAATGATTCTCTTACTGGTCAATCAGATCTTGTGCTTCAGCGCTCATTTCATCAGGAACCCCTGGCCAAGGTATCTTACGATTGAGAATATTATCGAATATTTTCTGCAAATGACAAAAAGTAAAAAGAGAAAGAGCATTACATCAGAAGTGCTTCATAAAACAGTAAACTCATCAATATAGTACCTCACAGGAGAGAAAATGCTCAGAGTACGTTATCAAAAAAAAATATCTCACATAGTACGTTATCAAAAAAGAAACTGCTCATAGAGTATGTTATCAAAAAAAGAACTGCTTACAGAATTTCTACTATAAGCGATAAAAGTATAAAGGTATCAACAACGGCCCAGTGTAATCCCACAAAAGCATAAAGGTATCAAAATTGCAAATACTAAACTATGTATATCAAGTGTTACATACATTTTTGACAAAGATATCAAGTGTTACATATAGGATGCAAACGGGCAGGACGAAGCGGCATGGGTCAAGCCTCAACTGGCTAAAAGGCTAAGACCCCCCCCCCCCTAAAAAAAAAAACCTCCCCTGCTCCAATTAACATTTTTTTCAAAGTTTTTCCCTGCCCTGCCCCGCTCTATCCTGTTTATGTTTTCTTTCATTTTTTCG